ATGCACTGCTCTGTTGGCTCCTCTGAGGCTGGGACTCTAAACAGTGTTCTGTGCTCGTCTGTGCAGCCAAACACAGAACAGTTAGCATGCTTTGCTCAAACTTTCTCCATGGCATTAGAGCTGGTTCACCATTGTCGCTTGCGAAAACACAATGACGGCGCTGTGGGTGGAAACTTACAGATTAAGGGGCAGTAATATTATAACGAGATCCCTTTGCTACGTCACCAAGGGAGCGAAATCAGACACGCTCGTATTCTCAGACGCTTGCAGAAAAAGGCTTACCAAAACAAAGCTACTGGGTTAATCTTTTTCACGTTTCCTTGGTTGGTAGATGCACCGGGGACCTGATTATGGCACTTAAAGGGGTCCTATTATGCTTTTCACTTTTTCAACGTTAGTTAGTCTGTAATGTTGCTGTTTGAGCATAAAAAAAGATCTGCAAGACAATCATCCGGGTTTAAATCGTGCTCAAATTCATTTGATTTTGACGCAATATTTACACTGAAGCTCGCAGACGGCTATGGTAAGGGGATATTTTCTGGGATTTGTGATATCACAAATATCAATGAATGGGACGAGATCTGGTTGTGCTTCACTAGAGAAGGCGTACGAGTGTTATCACTATGTCGGAGACACGCTAGCTTTCTCAAGGCAGACGAACTTAGAGTGGTGACAATCATCCGGGTTTAAATCACGCTCAAATTGATTCAGAAGGCGGGCCTTCATTTGATACAGGAACTATTCGAGCCGTTCATGCCAGACTGGGGAGAGAGGTGTTGTAATAAAGTAAAATATTTGAAAAATAATGTGTTTTTCGAACAACCTAGTTTGAGAGCCTGTTCTAGTACACCCCCAAAACAAAATCAAGACTTTGTAAAAGAGCATATTAATAGGACCCCTTTAAAACCTGGAAAAGTCGGATTTTCATAATATGTCACCTTTAAATATTTATATATAATATAAAATATAAGAATATAAATATATAAATGTATATACATGTAAATATGTTCAAAATATATACTGTATGTGTGTGTCTTTATATATAAATAATAAATATACACAGTACACATACATATATTATGTAAACAAAAACTTTTATTTTGGATGTGATTAATTGCGATTAATCATTTGACTATAATAAGAATAATAATTAAAAAAAAAAACAATGTAGTGACTCCAAACTTTTGAATGGTAGTATACTTAATTGTGAATAAAATCAGCATAGGTGAGGGCCATCATAAAGATGTGCACAGGCACTTTGTCTGGAAAACCTTGAGGCATTTCACAAGATGACTCACATGGATGCCTCAATGGGGTCACATGATGGGCATCTGGTAATGGGGGGAAAGTAGCTCATTTCACTCACATAACCTAATTTTCTTATTTGGTTGCGGCCTTTACATGGCCTGGTGCTAACCCAGATACACACTTAAGACTTTAGGTCAGCCTATCTTAAGGTGAATTTGTTGAGGCAGGTTGTCTCAATTTTAGGACTCAAAGCAAACAATAAAACACTTGATTACATTTATCACAGCTTTCAGTTGACAGCTTGAATATACTTACAGTATGTTCAGAACAGCATACTACCATATTATTTGTAATTGCATCAGTACTATGCAGTATACTGTGCATAATATGGATTTATCATGGGGTTTACTAAAGCAAAAAGTAATTTCAAAATAGCACTCATATCATTTTTGCAGTATGTATCCAACCCAATCTCAACCCTGATTACAACCTCACCTGACTCACTGTTGGTTCAGAGACTGCATCATATTTGGGAGAATTTCATGCAAGTAGTTTGCTATACCGTTATAAAGATCTAATTTATTTACATTACACACTATCAGAATTTCATCATACTTTTTGGCTATATCAGCAACTGAACCAAATGTAATATTTGTGTGTAGATTGGCCCTCTAAATAAAACTGAGGTGTTTATTTTTTCTTTTCAAGTATGAGCTTTATATTCTCCCACCATATCATAAAATATGATACTTAAGAAAAACATATATGCAAAGATTAGACTTTTTTCTGAACATTATTTCACATGTCAGACTTAATAAAAAGACAAGAGTTTATTAAAAAAATAAAGCTTTTATTTCTAAGATGATAACTGTACAACACTCACCGAATTATGCGATTTAAAACTGTCAGTTGACAACAGTGTAGCAAACTTATATTTTAAGGGTTTATTGCTGCATTTTATACTGCTTCAAATAGCCACTATATGAAGAAGTATATGTAGTGTACAGTATATCTGCAAAGTAACTAATCTTAAACAAAGATGATAATAATAATAATAATAATAATAAAGAACTAGGTCCCATATCTAAATTGAAAAAGGACAATTTGGGGTACAGAACTGGGCTGCAGGGCTTAAATATCAAAATTTCATGCCATGGGGAGAGTCTGTCACTGAAAATTCCTCATTGTGCACCATAAGATGTGACCAAACTTGACATGGGCTTTACAGAACTAACCCACTTTTCATGCACCATCTCCCCCTTTACATCAGCAAACGTATTCAACTGAACAGTCAATGTTGCCCAGATCTCAAAATAGTGGCTATAAGACATACAGACTTACAGTCACAATTTTTACAATCACTTTTTCAACACTTTATTGATAGAACTCTCAAAGCATAAGTCAACTTTCCATAAAAGCTCATTACACTGCATCTCCTTGAGTTGTCAACAGGAACACAAGCAAAAGATGTGGCAACTCATGGTCAGTCTGTGCAACACAGACAAACATTACATGTGTATGACACACGCTTGTTGAACCACAAATCTTGTTAATATAGTGACAGTGAGTTTGTGAGAAAACCTTGAGGCATTTCGGAGAAATTAGGAAGTGGTATGAAACCATAGGGCTAGGCTACTTTATCAGATTGCAAGTTTATGAGAAAAATATAGAGTCTACGCTACTGGATTAGGCCAAAGCATCCACACATTTGTACAAAAAGTACAAACTTTAACCTCAAATGAGGCACCCGGTGAAGTGACACATATCCCAGATATCTGTGTAGTTTTAGGAATGTAACATTAAATCTATGTATTTTGTGTGCTTTCACCATATTTCAGGTTTAACTAAGAAACGTCCCCATTATGTAATAATCGATCTAACTATATTAATCAAATGCAACAGAATGACAGTGCAGTACAATACAGTTTCTGAAGTCCAGATGTCACTGAATATGTAACGTTACTGCAGATCAGCAGCTAGCAACTAGCTAACAAAACTATCTTACCAAACTACAAAAAACGACCGCTTTTCCTACCTAATAACTCGACAACTTTAAAGGAGTAAAGTTTTAGTGATTTTAAAATAACATTCAAAATATCAAGCATTAAATTACGAACGCTTAAAGAGAACAAAGCGGCTAGTTACATGTCAACCACCGAGAAGTTCGGTAACGTTTTTGCGCATGCGCAGACCGAGTGAACACCCTAGCTGCCGCTATAGCTCGGACATGAATAAAATCATTTAATAAGTAGAACCAAACTGGAGAAACGGATAAGAAACTCACCGACACGCATGGACTAGAGGTTGTACTAGGGGTTGGCGACCGCTGTACGGTGACCAGCGCCATTCAAGGTTCAGGAACACAAGATGTAAGAGAAGGTAGCGGCCAAACTCACATCATTGGGTGCCGTCGCACATAGGAAGATGTGCGGCTTCTTCGAGGTCGCTCACTTCTGTTTGTTCTGCGCATGCGCGATGCGTACCAGCTGTCAAACAGAGGCGTCATACCTCTCCTGTTGGTTATCTGATCTCTCTCTGAATTATTTTAAATGACGCTAAATGATGCGTTGCCATGGAAATAACGTCATAATTGAAAGTTTTTTTTTTTTCTGTGCCAGCTGAATAAAACTATTTGAAACAATTTTCTCTTCATTATTTTATAATTAGCCTACTGGGGGAACAGGGAGTGTTGTAAAAATGGAATGAGTTGTAACAGACATATATGTACATTAATGTACTTTGAATCAAAGTTTATACATCATTTATGCACACTTTGCTTTTATTGTTTCAACCCAACCCGCAGGGGCGTCGCACCCGTGGGGGATGTGGGTGTTTTAACACCCACACTTTTCCCGGTGAGAGGGTTCAACACCCGCACTTTTTCTGCAGTTTTTCCGCAGTTTTGCACAAACGCCTTACTACAGTCGCTCCTCCGTTTCTCCATCCCCCGCACTTTTGAAAAGCTTGCTACGCCCCTGCCAACCCGGTATGTATTTCTGTGCTACTTTTAAGCTTTTATTTATTTCTGAGCTACATTACTTCATAGCAGACAAACATGTGAAATATTACATCAAAGTTTGAGACATGCAGCTTTTATTTTCTTAAATATACATTTTCCCTTATATAACAATGAACCTAAAATACTTAACCTAAAACTGTCATGTCCATATTATCGGTCAACTGATCTAAAACAGAATACCTTCATCTAATCTAATATTTAATCTCATTTGAACACTATTCAACGCTTCATTTAAAACCTTTGGACTCTAAGTGATACATGATTACCTTCTTCAGTGCAACATTAAGGAAGCTGTGTTCAAGGTGACAGTAATCAATCCACTCCTAGATAACTGATGCTAAGGTCATGTTTCAGAGCAGTGCTGTTTTATCATACTAGATACATTTGAAAGTTCTGTTATAATGCTACTCTGTGCGGTCGTCACCGGTCTATTAAAACACACAACATATTAAAGCGTCTTTGGTGTTTCCATGTTTTCTACAAAACAAAACTGGAAATCGAGGGGTTATGACGTCATTGGCAGGCGACACAATGACACTATGGACACGGTCCGTGTCACTAGTTAAAATTGCTAATTTCTCTGGATTTAAACATTCTTCGAAACATTTGGGATAATGTAAGTACACAAGTCAGCAAAATATATAAGACTGTTCTAGTGGTTTTTGAATATTTTAATAAAAAAAATCTTGTGCCTTTAATTGAAAACGAGTTTGCCATTCAAATTCAGACATATAAGGTGTTGATGAAGGAGAATTTAACTGAGCTGATATTTATTTAGCCTATTTATTTATTTATTTAGCTGATGATTGTTTTCAAATGTCTAAAATAATATATACAGAAACACCAGCCATAATTAATCATATTTGTATCTGCTTATTTTTTGTCAGCGTGCTGCACAAATGAAGGGTTAAATAAGAAAGGCTATTTATTTTTAGCTGAAAGATTGTTTTCAAATATCTATAATATACAAAAGTATATATAAAAACAATAAAGTAACAAAATAACACCAAATAATTATATTTTTTATAATTGCTTTTTTTTTGTCAGTGTGCTGCAAAAATCGATAATTTCAAGAATACAAGAAGAAATAAAGGATGTGATAAAAGAAGTGAGTGAGCAGCCAGTCATAAAACAATACAGCACAAAAAATGCACAGACACACACTATCATGTTAAAGCCTGGGAGTTTTAAACAGTGTTCTGAAAATGGCAGCATTCGTGAAACCCCTGGCTGAAATGTGTAAAGAATTCCACAGCCAGACGGCAGCTGGTGAGAGCGCCCTGTCACCCATGTGTCATATGACTGCATATGTACGGAGGAGGGTGCTATTTCCAGGGCTTGATCATAAGTCTAGAGCTCATTGTTTTATCCAACAGCTTTCTTTATCCTATTTAGAAATACTAGACTACTGCAAACCAATTTAGCCGAGATTTTCCTCCGAATATTAGCATCTCTGGTGGGTATGTAGGAAAAATTCATCAAATCCTTTAAAATATCTGGGTTACAGATTATTGAAAACCCCCATCCACGCTGAGCTCCATCCCCCATTTCATCCCAGCAGATATAACATGCTGGTGTTTTAGAGAGCTTGTGGGGAAAAAACCACAGCCTACAATCAATGCAGACTCATTCTGTCAGAGAAAACAAGCACTCAGCCGGAGATACAAAACATATTGATTAGCAATGAGACACCGCAATAAAGGGGAACGAGAAAGAGGGGTAAAAAATACATTATTTTGTATTTTGTGGGTGTTTTGACATTGATTAATGGATTCATCTCACAACATTATTGCTTTCAGTGGTCGAACATCTTATTGGTTATTTAACGCATCACAATTCCTCATATTTCCTACAGTTAAAATCACACCATGAGTTTTTTTTTTAAACAAACAAACAAAAAACAGCCACAATACATGAGGAAACGGTGAGCCATTGTTTCCTGTGTCTCCATGTGAATATTGTTTTGCTGCATGGACACGTCTCACATTCTGTCTGTTATCATATGCATGATGCTGTCTGCATCTGTCAGTGACCGTATCTCTGTCTCTCTGTGGATTAGCAGGGAGAGCAGGGAAGATAAGATTGAGATTAGGGGACACCGACTACTGATTTTAAGACAGACAGATGAACAGCAGTGTCTTTTAATTACAGTTTGACTCTGAGAGCTTGCCTCGGTGACAGTGAAAGGGGGGTTGGAGGGGTGGAACAAGAAAAACTGCTCTTTGAGGATTCACAGAATTGTAATGCTCTCTTTCACACAGCAGAAATATATATTATGGTAAAAAAAAGTGAAATCTAAATAAAGCTGAACCACCTAAATGTGTTCAGATGCAGTGAACATACTGAGTAGCACTGAACACTCACTTTATCATTTTGTGATATCAGTCCTAATGGTGTAAAAATCCTGTTTAATCTCAGTTGAGAACTCTTCTATGTCAGAATGACCTAGGAAAAGCACAATAATCGCAGTGTCCACCATGTGAAAGCCAATAAAAGGTAGTAGCAGCAGCATTTATAGTTGCCTAAATGAAAACGAAATATGCAGTAGCACAGACTCTCGTCCTTTCCACAGAGCACTAGTCCATCTAATGGTTGTCTACTGGAATTGCAGCCATTGTAGTTCCTGTGATACAGTTAAAAGAGTGTAATAGACCAGTCAGAGTAGTGCCATATATCATTTTTGACAGGAATGAAAATGAGGCTGTGGCGGATAGAAGTACAGTGCGTTCAATGGATTGTACATGGATTGTTGTGAATGGATTGTAGCTGACGAAACGTCTTTCTGAGAAAAAAAAAAAAAAGCTTTCAGTAAATGAAAACTCCATAAAACAGTTTGGAAAGTTGTGAAAATTTCCAGTAGCCCCTCACTGCAGTACACAAGATCCATCCTGGAGATGGTAGGTGTAGGGGTGGAGATGGGTTTAGGGATCAGGGGATGGAGACAGGTAGGTTTAGGGCAGGGCTGTCCAAACTCGGTCCTGGAGGGCCGGTGTCCTGCAGAGTTTAGCTCCAACTTGCCTCAACACATCTGACTGGAAGTTTCTATGCCTAGTAAGAGCTTGATTAGCTGGTTCAGGTGTGTTTAATTAGGGTTGGAGCTAAACTCTGCAGGACACCGGCCCTCCAGGACTGAGTTTGGACAGCCCTGGTTTAGGGAAATGTAAGTTGGGAGGAGTTGGATCTGGATCCAACCTCGCCCTCTGGATCTTGTGTTCTGCAGTAAGGACCATCTCAAAATTTCACAACCTAAGGAACTTTATACAGTCCGTGCCATTGCAAAGACCTCACAGCCTCATTTCATCCACCTTAAATTCAATATTGCGTCTAACCTGATTAAGGAGTAGCCTAGGTATTGAGCTCATGTTCTTGGCTAAACTATTAAATCAACATGACAAAGTAGGCTATACACATTTTAATTATATATTGTTTAATAGAAATGTGTAACAATTGGAGAAAGTATACAAAGCTCTAGTTTAAAATGTTCTTTAGCGGTAACGTTAGTTCAATAGGGACAATTAATTTACAGGGTTCCCATAATTTTCTCGGCAATGAATTACCATGGCTTTTCCAGTTATTCCTAATAAGTATTTTTTAAACATAATTTTAAAGAGCCTGCTGGGGAGGATTTACATTTGTGTGACAGGTACACAAATTTAGAGATGTAAGCCCTACATCATCATACTTGTGTACAAAAAATGGCCTTAGAATTCTTCATAATGAAGGCCAACAAAATGCTTCCATGCAGAACATTGGAACAGAGACATTCACTTTAGACATATCAACGACTTTTAACATTTTATTACATTTCCATGTCTTTGGAAACTGTGATTTGTTTGGAAGTCATTTTTCTAAAGGGGTAAAATGTTCCCATAGTGGGTCCAACACTGAGATCCATAAAGTTCATGTGTTTCTGTTAGCAGTCATGAAATTCTGTTAGCAGTCAGGGAGAGGTGTTCTTCACTCCTGCTTCTTCTCAAGCAGCGCGTTGTAGCGCCCGGTGGAGTGTAAACAACCAACGCAAGGACGATAATCACGACGATGATCATCAAACTCAATCCCACCGTCAGACCTGTGGAGGAATTTACTCTTTAAATATTTTAAGATGAGTTTGCACAATATCATTAAGTAAATATGTGTTCTCAGAACGCTGATTCGGGTTAGAACGCTAATATGATACGCGAGCAGTCACGAGGATGACAAAAGACAGAAGAAGTGCCTATACATCTTAGAGCGTCTGTGATTGTTAAAACTTTTTTTCTGTTATTATCACGACAAAACGCGGTGTCTGCTTTTGTTTACCTATATGTTGTTGTCCAATGACGCTCGCAAGTCGGTAAACCCAGTTGCTTTTGATAAAGGGGCTGTAACTGGGGAGGAATGAAAGGTTTCATTTCCTGTCTTCACAAGGCAACATATCACCAGATCAGCAAGTGGCAATGCAAAGCTAGGGAGGCTGGGTGACAGACAGGAGAACAGAGGAAGAGGAGGAGAGAAATACCAGGATTCAAGGAGCTATTATAAACAGGTAGAGAAGAAAACATATTATATGCAGAACATGCATGATATGTTCACAGGTGGGTTTCAATAACAGAAAATACTACATGTTTATATATAAAGAAAACAAAAATAAAATATATACAGTAGGCTACATGGATTGTAATGAGTTACAATAATTAAACCACACGTTTGAGATTAAATGTGCAGTATTCATTTTCAGCCCACTATATGGAATCTGATTTTGCTAATTAAACCTAGGCTACATGTTGCTCTGACATTCTTAGAACGTGTTTATCATTTGCTGTTTGTTCGTCACACCTTTATAACCTTTTTGGCACAGGTTAGAACTGCCTGTGAAGTTTATGAGGTATGATGTGATCTCTCCATTACATTTTCCAAGGCAACATAGCTTTCATATTCTGCCAGCTTTTGTAAGGATCACTAAAATACAAAATAAAACAAGAACTTAACTTGTTCAGAATGCAACTATTAAAACCAGCATCTTAAGCCCATGATGTAGGCCTAACGTGTGTGTGCTGCCATTCGTTAAGCTGGGTGTTTTAAATTTCCACTAAATGGTTACAGCACTTTGTCTTGAGTTGATCATTTTTGTATGAATAGCTTCAGAGAAGTATACAAATTTTACAGTGACTTTATAGGCGTCGGGTCGTTAAGACATTTTACGTGTTCCTTGAAGAACTGCAAACCCATTTTTGCCTCAGAGTGAAACAATTAATGTAATCATTTAAAATAGTATAAAGTGTAAAACAATCTAAAGTAGCAATTATGCTAAATATTTATTAATTTATTTTGTCTGAGGTGGAAAAGAGATTCAAAAATGTTGATCTAAATCTATAATAAAGTGTCAAAATATAGCAATGAGTTTATTTATTTTTAGCCTATTTGAATTTTTGTTTTGTCGTTAATGATAACGCAAAGTGCTCGGAAGTTCTGCTGTTGTTATTATTACTTTCTCAGTTAAATACAATTTCTATTGCTGTTATGTCAAATTCACACTGCAAAGGTGGCATAGAAGTGCTTCTGAAGTTGCATTTAAGTTTTCACACAGACTGTTTAATGCTGCTCAGAGGTGGCATAAATGCATTTAAGAAAGAAAGTGAAGAAGAAAGTGAAGTGACATGTGGCCAAGTATGGTGACCCATACTCAGAATTAGTGCACACACACAGCAGTGAACACACACACACACACCGTGAACACACACCCAGAGCAGTGGGCAGCCATTTTTTGTTACGGCGCCCGGGTAGCAGTTGGGGGTTCGGTGCCTTGCTCAAGGGCACCTCAGTCGTGGTATTGAAGGTGGGAGATCCTCCCCCCACCTACAATCCCTGCCGGTACGAGACTCGAACCCGCAACCTTTGGGTTACTATTAGGCCACGACTTCCCCCATTTACACAGTAATTACACTGTATACTATAATACTAGGGGCCGAGGTGGTTTATAGCAGGCATAATATAGTCTGGCTTTTATTCTGCATTACATCTTTAGACAGAATTTTGAGCAGGCACAGAGCAGCCTTAGCTTAGCTGTGTAAGGAGACCTATATTACTGTCGGTAAATGTAAATATAAATGTATAAATAAATAATAAATTTACTTGGAGGTAAAACTTCTTGTATAATTTCAGTTAAACATATCTTAAATAATAATTTTAAGAACCCCAACCCTTTTCATTTTGACTTCTTTTGAAGGTTCAAACCTTAATTACTGTACCCTGCTTTTAAGTGACCTTTGTCAATAGTGTAGTCTCAGTGAGATGAACATACAACTGAGAAAGTGAACTTTCTTGAGCTAATATCAGTGTGAAGGGTCAAAATGATAGGCTTACAAACCACCAAACAAATCAGTAAAGCAAAAATATGAGCAGAGTAGGTGTGTGAGAGCAGACGGGCAGATAAAGAGATGGTGTGATCGTTGCAGGGGAGAGAGGGAGATGTGACAGGGTGTTTAATATAGATCCTCCAGTCTGATAAAACTGACAGGAGGTTCCCATCCCCAGAAGAGCAGGGACTCATAGGAAATTGCCAGAATGAAAAACAGAGAGAGAGAGAAAAAGAGAGAGGATTACGTGACTGACACCCCTCATTACTCTTTATTTTCGCTCTCTGTTTTTTTTCCTTCTTTTTTTAGAATTCTCTAGAATTTGTTACTGAGCTTTAGAAGTATTAAGATATGGCTTCTGCCCAAAAATATGGTATATACATTGTATGGTTGTACAACTTGATTATTGTTAACATTTTTGAGTAAAAAAAAATCCTGAAGGGACCTTGCACTGCAGTTCACATCGTGTGAAAGCTGTAACTCAACACTGTATGTATCTGAGTTCAGCTTGTGTGAGAGCAGAGGAGTGTTTGTTCAGTCTCTGGGTTCAGAGGCCCAGCGTTTACATGCAATGTACTGTATAGATTAGTCCTTGATGACAGAAACTCAACATTACTGCTTGTCACATGGCTCTTGTTGCAATACCAGAATTTGAGATGCATGTGACTCAATGTACCGAAAACAGAAATTTGAATCATATATTTATGCCCAGTATTGTTCAAGATTCTCAATGCAATTTAATTCACCATGACATATATAATAGTTATCTTCATTGTATAATCAGAGAATGCTTTCATTGTCAAATGCCTGAACTTACATATAAGAGAATGTAATTGATAGTTTATCATTAATAAAAACAAAGTTAAAATGGCTTTAGATCAATTTAATGTGTCCTTGCTGAATAAAATGTTGTTTTCTCTGAAATCAATATATAAAAAATATATCTCTGAAATATTTGTTTATAATGTATTATATATTTTAATATTAAATAAAGCATCTAATCACAATACAAATTATGCTGATGATGATGATTATTATTATTATGAAAGACAACAACCCAAATGGACCCTATTAACTTGATAGTATGGTTAAAATTTAGCAAGACATTCAGTCCATTAAGGGTATTATAACTCTACACACCCAAAGGAAAGTCATTTCAGCATGAAACTTATTTGAACCCAGATATGAGAAAGAAATGTATAATTTAAGACATAAATGCAGCTGGATTATTTCCAATGGTTTGATAATGTATCTGTAAAACCAGAAAATCATCTTGTAGTTCACTATGTGGAAAGCCTCTCCTTTAGGGAAAAGAGTGAGGAGGTACGTGACTGACAGCTCATGTTAATACAATGAGGAGAAGCTCTGACTCCTCTGTGGACCAGTGTGTGTATATGTGTGCAATCTGCTCCTTAGAACATCTGCGAGCAAGACCTCATTTATCTACGCCCAAACCCACCTGATAACAGACTCTCTGGAAGGAGTGTGCGATAAATGGGTTTTCTAAAGATGGGAGAGAGGGAATACACATGAATTAGCTCAAGGGAGAGTTAGATGTGATTCAACTGTAATCAAATTCAGTAAAAAAAAATGTATGCGAGTAATTTTTTTTTATATGTTATGCTTAGTCATAATTATCATATACATGTGTGGGGTGGGTAATATTTTGTATGATTTTGAAAGGTCTCTTATACTCACCAGGGCTGCATTTATTTGATCAAAAATAAAGTAAAGACTGTAATATTGTGAAATATGATTACAATTTAAATTAAGTGTTTTGCCTGTGATGGCAAAGCTGAATTTTCAGCATCAGTCTTCAATGTCACATGCTCCTTTAGAAATCCTTTTAATATGCTGATTTCATGCTGAAGAAACATTTCTTATTATTATCAGATCTGTGCTACTTAATGTTTTGTGTAAAAAAAATTTTTTTCTTTTTTTACTCTTACTCTTTGCTGAACAAAGTTCAAAAGAACAATTTTAAATCGAAATCGTTTATAACAGTTTAAATGTCTTTACTGTCACTTTTGATCAATTTAAATGCATCCTTGCTTAAAACATCTGAATAATTAATTTCTGAATAATGTATATTTATGATTTATTGAAATCACTTTGAAAGTTAAAATAGCCCACTGAAATCATCCAGGAATATCAGTCAGACAGATCCCTATTTTGTATCATAAACACAATAAAGACACATCCATTATTAATACATATACCTTTATTTTATCTCTAATAATTCATATATGTATTTGTCCTATACATACATACATAGATCAAATTTAGACTTTATAATGTACAATAGATTTTCAATACTTTGATAGAATAAGAAATTCTGCTGCGAAAGAAGAGGATAGGTCAGCACTGGACTGAAGCACACACACGCACACACTCACACACACAGATGCACAATATAGACTCACGTCTACGGCATGCACACACACACACACACAGACTGAACTGACCATGGTTTATTACTTCTCTACCTCGAAGTACAGCTCACACATGTCAGTTTGACAGAGAAATCCACGTCCTCACATTTGCCCACTCTACAAATTCAACGAGTCAGCACAGAACGCCGGACCACACGAACAGCAAGACTCACAAAGTACACATGCACATACTTAGATGTCCAGTCCCACTTTTTTTTCATGAAAAAAGTCTTGAGGATCAAGGCTGAAGCATTTGTAACAAGCACATTAGTATTTGGTTTCTGCTACTTAGTGTAACTCACATAAAGAAATATGTAAAAATAAATGCCAAAGCCCCCCGTTAACATTGAGGAACATGCTAGTCGTCGATCAATATTGTTTTTTTTCTTAGACTTTTACATTTGGTCCCCCACAGTCCTGAATATTTGGTCCCATTCTTGTAAATGTTACATGTAAATGGTAACTGGGTAGGCAGACAAAGAGTTCCAGTTGCAAATAAACAAAATAAGCATTATGTGAATGAAATGCCACAAATGTCCCACAAATAAATACACATATGCCTAACAATTGGTACATATCCGCCAAAAGTAGGCTAAACACTTAATATCTGTTACATATACGGGCATGGTGGTCAAAGACGCACACATACACACATATCCAATCACACACACATACACACCTGTGCAAAAAAACATAAAAAAATGTATGATTTGGGCCCTTGCTTGTCTCATAAAAAACATTCTGTTACATTCCTACTTTTACACTTTCCACATCTGAAATGTAAAATAAAAAACTATTTAACAAATATTTAACAAGAAATAAAGAAAATATATTCACAATTAGTGATGGATTCAGTTCCTAATCCACAAGCAGCTTCTTTTAAGTCATACTTACAAATTTCTATAATGACAATAAAGAAACAAAATAATTTTTGGCCTTATATAAATGAATAAATGAAAAATATACCTGAAATTGGTCACAAAACCACAATATAACAATCTTTATGTATTTAGTTACTATTTAAGGAAAAAGAAATATTTTAGAAAAGCAATCTATATAAATTTTAGATTTTCATAAAGTAAAATTAACCACTTGTGCGTCCATTCCTGTTCTTATCCCAAACTTCACTAAACAGATATACGTTTGGGGTTGGTGAGATTCAGATATCAATCTGATATGCTGATTTGCTGCTTAAGAAACATTTCTTATTATCAATGTTGAAAACAGTTGTGTAAACAGTGATTTTTTTTCAGGATTCTTTGATGAATAGAAGGTTCAAAAGAACAGCATTTATATGAAATAATCTTTTGTAACAATGTAAAGATTTTTACTGTCACCTTTGATTAGTTAATGTATCCTTGCTGACTAAAAGTAGTAATTTCTTAAAAAAAAAAAAAAAAAAAAATCTTACTGCCCCCAAACTTTTCAACATTAGTGTACACGAGCCATATATATATAAACTGTTTATGCAGATCTAAAATTAACAACGGAAGGACAAAACACAAACTCAAGAACTTGCTACGGCAGTCAGTAATTCATATGAGCGCTGACAGTGGTCACACATGGATGGCTAGAATAAGAATAAAACAATGGCTGTATTCGGAGGCCTGGCCTCACCGTCACACAATACATGTAGCAGACTCCTCTGGGGTGAGGTGTGAAGGGAGGTCAGTCGAGGCCCTTACAGGAGACACGGGTCCCCTGCGTTTGTGCTACATGTCCAGCACAAGAGGAAATGTGTCACACGGCGTTGGTTATGACAATTGTGTCTCTCTGACGGCCGCTGGACCCCGGAGCCTCAGGGGTAATGCTCTTTAGCAGACGCTACAGGAGTAAGCAGTGAGAGTGGTGAAAACTGTGAAAACATTTAAGCTACAGGAGGGTGTTACAGTAAGTCGAACAGCTCAACTACAAAATAAATATCTTGGAGATTAAACAACAGTGATATGTTGCAACTCTTGCAACAGCTGTGGGCTAAAACTCTCCTCTATGAGGCACATAATTACTCACCCCAAACCTGACATGCCAAAGGCACTGGTAGTTACATCACAGAATCAACAAAGGTTAACCTTGTGTCATTTTTCATCATCTGCCAAACACACATCCTGTGACTAAAGCACACACACTCATGGATGTATACAGTGACTGACAGCCATGTCTATCTTCACGTCTCAAACAGAGAAAATTTACAACGTTATCAAGCTGATACGTTGCAGCATAATTGCGTTTGTGCTGCTGTAATGTGTTTAGGTGTCGTTATTATATCTGGCTCACTTATTAGACCTGACAAGATACAGTAATGCATGTGTTTTGATGTTTTCATCTGTCTAGGCTCACCTGTTTGAAGGTCCCTTTGGTGGTGACTAGATGGTAGACCATGTAAGAAGGCACACAGATGAAGGAGGAGACTCCAATACAGTAGCCGAGAACTGTGGTCCAGAAAGGGTACAGGTAGTCAAACAGCCTCACCTCGGGAGGGAATGCCAGGAAACTCCCAATAATGAACTACAGACATGAAACAATGAGAAAAATAACAAAACTGTATTTGCATTTCTGACATGCTGAGATCTGGCAACAGATAACAAACGTCATAAATGTTTGGGGATAGTTCAGCCCAAAATGAAAATGCTGTCATCATTTACTCAACCTCATGTTGTTCCAAACCTGTTCCTCAAAAGAAAGTCATACATGAGAAAATGATGACAGAATTTTCATTTTTGGGACAATTGTCCCTTTCAGTGTATTTGCATGTAAACGCACTTTTTGGACTGGGTTTCTGTAACTCAGACAGCATAGTATATCAAATCATGGGTATGAAGGGAATGCATGAACTGATAAAACATACTTTGAATGCATTGTAAGTTGTTTTGGTATGTCGCAAAATGCATAAATGTAATGTAATAGACTGACCAATAGGAAGCAGGGACAGATGGCTACCCAGCAGACCCTCCAAAACACACCAGGAGCAAAGCCAAGCATCAGCTGCACGTCGTTGCAGAAACGTGTCGTCCCTGCACGTATTTTGCAAACAGACTTAGTGCACATCGCCTGAAGCAGCATATCGGATTACGAAACTATTGAGGTACATGATAAAATCTTGGGAGTTGAATAAGAAAGAACAGATGGACAACAGCAGAGTGTAAAGTGACAGAAGTAGCTAAACAGTTTTATAGCTCGACATTATGACTACTCTCCCTGCAGTAGTGACTAAAAATTACATTTTCATAGACTCTTGGGAATTAGGCTAAAGGGTGCACAGTCCAAAATAAAGAAATATAAATGCTAGGAAGTTCAGCAGTAATGTTTAGAATTTTTATTTTGAAGTTTTGTGGGAGTTGAGGAACACAAATTGACATATCAAAAGCATACATTTTCTGGTTCCAGCCCAAAAGCCTCTAAGGGTCTATCTTGTCTAGACAATTCATTAAAGTTCCCATGACATGCTGCTTTTTGGATGCTTTTATATAGGCCTAAGTGGTCCCTAGTACTGTATCTGAAGTCTCTTTCCCGAAATTCAGCCTTGGTGCAGAATTTCAGCCACTATGGGCCAGTCCCACAATGAGCTTTTCTTAGGACGTGCCATTTCTGTGTCTGTAGCTTTAAATGCTAATGAGGAGGAGAGAGGCGGGGCAACTGCCATGCTTCGCTCGTTTGCAAGCCATGATGTCTCTCGAGGAAAAAAAAATATTGCGCTCGCCTCGCATGGTAGTAGCTCATTTTCTCATGGGCGGGCCAAATTCTCTGGGCGGGCAAAGCAGAGAAAGGGGAGGTAACCTTTCCCCGTATGACGACATAAAGGGAAGATTCCAGATTGGGCCATCTTAGCTTTCATTTTCTCAAAGGCAAAGCAGGATACCCAGGGCTCGGTTTACACCTATCGCCATTTCTAGCCACTGGGGGACCATAGGCAGGCTAGGGGAACTCATATTAATGTTAAAAAACCTCATAAAGTGAAATTTTCATGCCATGGGACCTTTAAGAAACTATGTAGGAGTTTGTTTGCTTCATCAAACCAGCATGGAGTCAGACCAGCAGCACAGTCAAAACTGATTAAAGTTATATTTTGAATGCTTAAGCTGCAATCCATTACATACCATAGAACCAGGAAACAGCAATGACCTCGAGGAAGACCACGGTGATAACAGCAGGGCCTGTGGCATACTCCTCAAATAGTTTAACAACAAACGCACCTCCCTACAAACACATTGCTTCAGTATTAAAAGGAATATTTAATGTGCACACTTTGGAAAATGGCATGTTATTTTGGTAAAATTCCAGACAGTATTTAAAGCCTATTAGAACTGAAGGAAAATCCCCCAAAGCAAAACTACATTTTTGTTAGCTGTGCTGTTAGACTTACGTAGGTAAGAGTGGAGAGGGCGCCCAAATAACAGACACACACAAGGCCGAGCACAAACCATTCTCTCCTCCTGGCCAACAGGTGGGGGAACTCATCCAACATGGCTGTAATTACCCCTTCCAGACCTGCAAACTGTAGTGTGCAAACACACACAGAGAGGCATGGTATGATAGAAAAGTAGGTCAAGGACCCATTGAACTTGTACAGGAATTAATTCAAATAATGCTCCTTAAGGTAAATACAGCACTCAGTGGATTTTTACATTATAATCAAACAGAAATAGACTACATATAGAGTTATATCATTAGCAGACTGAATTAAGCCATTCCTGACAAGACTTCCCTAGTGAAAAATAAATATACTAAAATTAGGGCTGCACGATATATCGTTTCAGTATCGATATCGCGATGTGCGCATCCGCGCTAGTCACATCGCAGGATGTGCGATGTTTAGTATAGGAGACTGATCGTTATATTTATACTGATTGTTTTCTTTGCTCACACACAGACACGGTGTCTACACCGGATGCGACAGCTGTACAGAGATACAAATTTTAAATACATTTAGTAGCAGAGCTACTGCACGCGATTTTCAGTGCTGGAAATCCATTAATCCTTTGTTGAAACTTCCGCGTCGTCGCGGAGAGCGCAGGTCACGGTCGCTTAGCAGCAGCAGACGCCACTAAAGCGCAAGCTCCCCAGCGCTTTGGAAAGGAGAAAGCGGCGTGGCTAGCGTTTTCCACGCGTTTTTAGGCGCGAAATGTGAACGGCCCCAAAGTCTGTCTACACTGGACGCGACAAACCGACCGTTGCCAATCATTTGAACTTTGTGTCAGTACATCATAAAGAGTAAAAGTGTAAACAGCATCACTGATTATAATGGGTTCATTGTATTTTGTCGCGTCGCGCTGCGCCGCTCGCGTCCGGTGTAGACACGGTGAGAGCAACGCAGATGCACCTGAACACTGAATTCTGTTCACTTCTGCATCTATTTGTGCCTGAAATACTGTGCTCTGCAAGTATCCTTGTAAACGCAGTTGCTTATGGCTTAGGTGAAGGGAAACGGTTGAGAAAGAAAATGGATGTGTAATAGTATATTGGTTTACAGCAGTTTAATGTTCCTGAGGCTTTCTGTGTTATGAATGTTAATCAAACAACAAAACACAAAGAAAAATCACTTTTGTAGCTTTAACACAGATTTATTAGATTTAGTTTATACAGTGAAGACTATGTAGTTATTTTACATTTGATTATTCAATTTCTGTAGCTGTCATACTTACCTGAAAAATATTTATATTTATCTATGCTTGTAATTTGTTTATTTCCTATGCTAATTTACTCGCCTACAAAATCACCCCAATCACTGATAACCCCCCCCCATAAACTATTCAAGTCATGTGTTGTGGTTTTTTTTTTTCATATCGCAATATATATCGCAGAAAAATAAAACATCGCAATGTAAGTTTTTTCCAATATCGTGCAGCCCTAACTAAAATGTATTTGAAATACATTTATTTCATGTTAGTATACTACAAATACATTTACATATTTATGTACTTAAAAATACCCTGCAATTGTACTTTTGGTATACTTAAAGTCTGCTAAACTGGAACAACTAATTTTGTAATTAATGCACTTTAATTGTGCGGAAGTAGTGCTGAAGTCCAACTAAAGATATACTATTTGATTGTGCTAAAGTACAACTACTGCAAGTATACTTTAGGTACACTTTTTAGGTCTTGCATTTAAAGACAATATTATTCAAAGATCACACAATCATAAATAGTGACATTAGAACGCATATTAGGCTTAATATTAAGTAGTATGTATTGTGCACAAGTAGTACTCCAAATAAAGTTGAATTCAAATTTGTATATCAGTAAGTCCCGAGCAATATGTCAATAAATATGTTAATAGATTTGAACTATGCTTAATATTAAATAAATGTAAATGTATACTTTTTTACTAGGGTTGATTGTGTGTGTGGTCAGCATAGGGACAGGAATGGGTTAACTATGCACGCTGAAGACCTAATGTAATGAAACACTGTAGACAATACATTTTACTAAATTCAGAAACAATAAGCTGAGTAAACAGAGGGAAAAATCTAATTCATTAAGAGAGAATTGATTGGCTAGTATTTCAAGAAAGCAAGAAAGACTGACCGTGCTATCCAGCCCCAGCATAATTATCATGAGGAAGAATATGATGGCGAAGAACGTAGCAGCCGGCATATTGGCAATAGCCTCAGCATAGATGATGAAGAGCAGACTGGGACCTTAGAACACATGCATCCAATCAGGACAGGTAAATCAAATGTCATTTTAGTGTAAACAGCCATATCACATTGTAGTTTCAATGCAATGATTTGCAATTGATATTAACTGATATTCAAAATTCTTTAATTGGTACTTAATTGAAAGGAAATGGTGCCATAAAGCAAGAATAAAGAAATTAGGTAGAAATTAAATGAGGTGCTTACCAGCATCTTTAGCTACAGTCTCCACACGTTGTTGGCGCATCTCTGCCATGTAGCCCAGCACAGTGAAGATCACAAAGCCTGACAGGAAACTGGTCAAACAGTTCACTGAGCTTGTGACCAATGCATCTCTGTAATTCAAAGAGAGATAAAAAGATTTGAGCAAAAATAAAAATGGTAAAAAGATAAATAGCTTAAACAGGGAGCGACAGAGAAAAGGGATAATAGAAAATAAAAACTAGATTTTTAGAAAACTAGCGATTGCGACAAGTGATGTGGGTGATTTCAGGCATTGCTATGGTTTTAAGAAAGGTTCCTGGTTTCTTACAGCACCAAGTCAACAGAGTCCACTTCCAAGTCTCTATCATATTCTGGTTCTCAGATAAGTCGAGATAATTTTTTTTCACACTTGTTTTATCATAAATAAGGTTGCTTAGAGAAGTAATAGCACTCCTTTCCTCAACAAATCTAATGATTCATGGTATAATTTTTGCTATGGCCTGAACAATGCTGGAAGAGTTATGTGCCAAAGTGTAATACTTAGGATTAGGCCAACGTCAAACCTGCATAGAAACGCATGCAAAAAGATGCAGGGAATAAACTGTGACTAAAGTTCACATTTTAAGCTCAAGTTTGTGATAACAGAACCTTAGTGCAGATAATAGAAAATGACAGCAGTATAAATGTGAGCCAGGTGTACTTGTAGCAGTTGTTATGAAAGGGATTGTAGCTGGCAAAGGCCATGAGAACACCAAAGCCTGGACCCAGAGAGAAGAAGATCTGCGCAGCTGCATCAAGCCAAACCTGAAAAAACACAGATGGAGTGATTTGTCTGTAAAGATTTTCATTCATCCATATCATACCTGACAGATGGCAGGAAATATGTGTTATAGGGGAAAAGGGACAGCAACCAACATGGATTGTGCAATATCTTAGGATTCAGTATGGTTGATTTAGTTGCCACTCACTGTAGTGGTTAAAAGTTTGCTCCAATCAGGTTTCAGGTAGAAGACCACTCCTCTCCATGCTCCTGGCAGGGTGGCCCCTCTTATCAACAGGATCAGCAGCACCAGGTACGGAAAGGTAGCCGTCACCCACACTACCTGCCAGAGAGAGTCATGAAGAAGCTGCTGATAATCAGTTTTAACTCAAAGTTGGCAGTCCTTTTTCTTTTAGGTTTCCTGGATATCTTACCTTGCCGGAGGTCTTGACCCCTTTCCAGATGCTGAAGTACACAACAGTGAAGATGAACAACAGACAGAGGGCTAGTTGCCAGCTCACCCAGCCCAACTGATGAAGACCAGGGGACAGATGAACCTGCAAGACCTGCCGTCTAAGGACACGAAAGAAGTTGGTTGACAATTTATAAAAACAAACATAAAGGCCTGAAGCTACTACTGGGAGATAAAGGTGTCACAGAATAGTAAAAAAAAGGTAACACTTTAGTATAGGGACAAATTATCACTATTAACTAGTTGCTTATTAGCATGCCCATTATTAACATATTGGCTGTTTATTAGTACCACATATTCCACATGACCATATTCTACATTCCTAATCCTACCCAATACCTAAACTTAACAACTACCTTACTAACTAATAAGCAGCAAATGAGGAGTTTGAAGCAAAAGTCATAGTTAATGGTTTGTTAATAACGAGAATTGGACCTTAAAATAAAGTGTGACCAAAAAAGCTTAGGGAGTAGGAAAGGACTGATGAATGCAGGACAGTTAGATAAGAACAATGAGCAACATTTATATGGAAAACAGGAAATCCCGGCAGCACAAATAAAAAGTGGGAGCAATCAACTAAATGAAGCCTCTAAATCTATCCTAAAGCAGCGGATACACAGACCCAGTCCCCCTGCATCTTTCGAGAGAGAGTAACGCATTCTCTCTAAATCTCGATAGTTCTAGAAGCCTAGTGAAGGCAAAGTTCTTAGCTCTATCCTTTTTAACCTGGACTTGCACTTACACGCACTTACATGCACTTACATATAGAACTCTTCAGCCGGAGAGATGGAGTAGTTGGTCCAGGAGACATTCAAATCGGTGGACAGGTAGTGGGTGCAGTTGGGAGTGTTCCACTGGTTGGTGCAGGTGGTCCAGGGCAGCGTGGCACGAAAGGAGGATAGGAGGTAGTAGAGAGCCCAGGCCATTATGGTATTGTAGTAGAAGGCAATGTAGAGTGCAATGATGCAGATGGCAAAGCCTATACCTGCAAAAGAACATGATCATGCAAATGTTTCTAGCACCTTCCACTTTGGGGCAGTGGGTGACATTTCGGACAAAGTTGCATTTACATAAAATCAAGTTTCTTAAGCAACTGGCATTTTACCAGGTAAATGTGACAATTTCCATAACAGAGTCTTGGTTATCAACAAAGAGAGGGCGGAATCGGTAAGAAGTTTAGAGGAAGGTCAAGGGAGAGTGTACTATCAGCACAGCACATGTCAGTCTGTCGGTATCGGTCTGACCCTTAACCCGGGTTCTTGGTCTCAGAAGTCTGAGCTTTGTGAAGCAGACCAGTCTTACCCTTGAAGATGGGGCAGATGTGTTTCCAGATGGAGATACACCCGCTGCGGTGAAACTGGCCCAAAGCCAGTTCCATGTAAAACAGCGGCACGCCACCAAACACAGCCATCAGCAGGTACGGCAGAAGAAAGGCACCTAATTTAAACACAAGGATTTAGACAGGAAGCGCAATTGAACTTCACGGTTCCATTGAATTGGTCTTAACACATCCCGAAAGCGCTATTGTACTTACAGAAAAGACGCTACACATACACAAAAAGTTCCTGTTCAGACAAGCCCCTGGGTTTCTGATTAAAGCTTTATACGTGAGCTTTTGACGTGAATGCTAGATAGCTGTTGATTGAGCAGCAGCGAGCCAGATTATTAAACAACATGAGCAAGTCCCACCCATGAGAGCCACAATTAATGGTGTTGGTTGCGGCAAGTGTCTCCCTGCCCGCTCTATCTCTCATGCACTCCCTTTGCATGGTGAAACAGGAAATTACAAAGATTTTATTACTTGAAATTCAATGAAAGGAGACTAAAGCCTGTTTGTACTGACGAGGCGAACTGGATCGCACAAAGAGAGGAGACAACAGCAGAATTCCCCATTGTCTATTAGTTCTTTTTAAGCAAATATCACCTAGCTGATCTTGTCTCAAAGACGGAAATCTTTCTTTTAATGGGATGCTACACAATATTTGTTTAAATGCATCACACTTATCTGTCTCAGAGTTGCCTGCAGCTTTAGTATCACTTTTGCCCCCCACGTTTGACCTTACCCCCTCCATTTTGGTAGCAGATGTAGGGAAAACGCCACACATTGCCCAGGTCCACTGCATACCCGATCACCGACAGCAAGAAGTCCATCTTTTTGCTCCAGGTCTCCCTAGGTGGATCCAAGCTGGTCTGCTGGACCACCAGAGTCCTGAATGCCCCAGGGGTGCTGCCCCTGTCCGTCCCAGCACCCGCACCATCCCTGGGACTTTGTGGGGATGTGCTGGGATAACCGTTGGAGACCTGCCCAGGTCCGGAGCAGGATTTCTGACCCTTCTCCGCAACGCTGTCCGCAACAAGCCTTCCGTTTTCTTGTGACTCCTGTTCCTTCTCATGCTCTCCCCCATCCTCTCGATTCATCATCTCTGGTTGTTTCATCTCCATGGTGAGGACTGCTGTTAGGGTTGAGACGGTGGTCCTCTTGCACTGGCTGATATCGCGCCCATGAGGGGATAGAGAGCCTGGAGAAGAACGGCCGGGTTTGGAACGGAGCGGGCTAGGATGGAGAGAGCAAGGAGAGTGTGACCGGGCCTTAACCTGTGCGTTTTAACAAGCTCAGGTAGGAAAACAGGGAAACACCGCTCAGGCCCAGCTGCAGAACAAAGAGAGGGGAATTTCAGATGGTGGTGGAGGGAATTTAGCATGGATTTACCCCTGTCATTCTCATACAAAATGTTCTTAAGAAATGACACATCATCTTTGTCAGAAAAACCATGTTGTTTTGAAAGATATCTGGTTTTGATTTTGATTAAATATGCCCTTACAACATGGGGTTAAAGCTGTAAAACACTAAGTGAACTCTGTACATGCCACAGCAACATTAAGCCTTCGGGAGCTGCCAAGGCAGTTATTTAATCTCATTTTCCTTGACACTGTTGTTACTTAACTTACAATAAGAGACTGTACCCGATGTTACACACAGATACATTAGATTACAAAACATACACTTAGCACAGCCTTTTCCCTAATTTAAACAGATCTTATATACATTTATGGTACACTTACATTTAACAGTGAGAGTTAAGTAATTCCAAATATTACGACATGTTAAACAAACACATGTAAGACATGAAATACTTTGTGCAACTAATTTATTTTTTATTTCAGGACAGAAATGAAGGATCAAACAGATTTAACATTTGTTGATTGATCAATACACTGTTAAACATTACCAATAATTTATTATACTGTGTTTTAAAGTGTACTTCAGCATTCAAAATTAGCTGGAGGGTAAGTTGCTTCTAGCAACAGCCTTACTTTCCGCCTAGCATTCTGTGAAAGCTGTTTGTAATTACTAGTTGAAATTGATGGGCAGTGATGCAGGTGGGTGAGAAGATATTAAGCAACTACTATTCATCACAACTTAATGATCATAATAATGTCAGAAATAATTGAGAGTGGAATACTAATTTTTTTCCCTGCTTGCCTTTTCCTCATACTATAACAGCTAACGCATTTCATTTAGTTTCTATCGGGGGATTTTTTTTCTGCCAAAAATGTTTATTTATTCAAAGTGAATCATTTGTTCCTTTAAAACACATTTATAAAAAGTAAAAAACTATTAATGATTTTATGATGGCTGTGGAGAAGGTGGAAAGCGTTCCGCACTATTAAAATCAGGCAAAAAGTGAAATGTTAAAATGTTTGCACATATCCAGCATGGCAACTTATCAATACAATTAATTTGTTTGTAAAAGTTGATTCGTCAAACATGACTCAAAACTTACGCACAGGCACATTTTATGTGGAATAATTGAAAAAGTTCAATTAAAAAATAAGGACAAGCATAAGTTAAATTATCATGCCATATTATCAATCATTTGTAAATGTCTGCCACCCATATCCTTCTCATCCAAGTGTCACAAGAAGTTACAAGTTTTATCTACGATGTTTTTCTGGACAAAGATTATCTGATTGGCAAACTTCCTGATTTTTTATTATTTACAGCCCTATGTCTTTCTACTTTCTGTCCATGTTTTTCTTTGCACACACTAAATCAACCCACAAATCTTCTCTCTTTCACACACCCCAGGGGCGTAGCCATCATTTCAGAAGTGAGGGGGACAGAAATGTTATATATATATATATATATACACTAATACTGAGCATCTCGGACACCTTGGCTGAATTTTTGTTCATAGTCACAGATAATAGCGAGGTCAAGATCAGTGCAGCTGTGTTATGTTAAGAGTTTGTTCGGTGACCGGGATCTCATGCCAAATGTGTTTATCTATTACTCCACTACCTTCATTATTACACATCTGATATACACATAAATGCCAAATGAAATAAAGTTAATACGAACAGTTTTATAACCAATAGATATTGAGATAAAACACTTCCAGTCCCATTATAGCATTATTAGACCCATTAAAATGAGCTGCCAGAGTTCTTCAGGGTTCTCAAAAACCTCCACTACAGCAGAACTAGACTTCCACATTTTAATGAACTGAAAATATCTATTAAAGTACAACTTTAACAAAATAAAACCATTGACAAAGACTCAATGGCATACATAGAAACATCAAAATGCCTCCTATTACACATGCAGGCGCATACAGACACACACAAGCAAAGACTTGCAACCCAAACTCGCTTCATTATCACACACGGAGCCACAAACACCATGCACAGTGCAACCCTACCGTGCTGCGGTTGAGCAGTTCTGTGGGGGTCTGTGTTAGGGTGGTGACCAACACCGTCCCTGGGAGCCTGGTGCTCAAGACACACCCCCTTCACCCCTGCTCGCTCTCTTTCTCTCTCTCAGTCTTCCTCTACTTTTTCTTTTACCAAAGAGTCTTTAACTTGCTTTGTGGTAGTCACCCTAAGGCACTTCACATCTAGTCACTTAGAATTAAGCTCAATGGTATAATTATGACCCCTGCTACCAAACATCTGTTCATGGATACCACAAGAGGCATGAATGGAGAGTGCAAGCCCTCGTTTAAAGCACATCCACATACTATTTATTTGTGTCAAAGGAGGCCTGAACTACATTCGCAA